GCTATCACTATCATTATCATTATCATCATTATTAATATCATTATCATTATCATTATATTTATTGTTATCATTTATGTTTTCATCATTATCATGTTGTTTTGTATATTGTTATATTATGCTTGTTGTTGCTATCATCAACCTTTTCATTATTATCTTCATACTCTTCATAATCGTCATTCCTATCATTATCTCTATTATTAATTATCATGGCTATTATATACATCTTCACCTTTATCCTCATCACCGTCATTATTATTGTCACTATATTTATTTACTATCATGTTTATTCTTATTCTTATTGTCATTGCTATTTTATCAAGACTATTAGCATTATTATTATTGTTATTATTATTATTATTATTATTATTATTATTATTATTATTATTATTATTATTGTTATTATTATAAATATCATTATTATTACTATCATCATTATCATCGTCATTATCATTACTATCATCATTACTATCATCATTATCATTACTATCATCATTATCATCGTCATTATCATTACTATCATCATTATCATCGTCATTATCATTACTATCATCATTATCATCGTCATTATCATTACTATCATCATTATCATCGTCATTATCATTACTATCATCATTATCATCGTCATTATCATTACTATCATCATTATCATCGTCATTATCATTACTATCATCATTATCATCGTCATTATCATTACTATCATCATTATCATCGTCATTATCATTACTATCATCATTATCATCGTCATTATCATTACTATCATCATTATCATCGTCATTATCATTACTATCATCATTATCATCGTCATTATCATTACTATCATCATTATCATCGTCATTATCATTACTATCATCATTATCATCGTCATTATCATTACTATCATCATTATCATCGTCATTATCATTACTATCATCATTATCATCGTCATTATCATTACTATCATCATTATCATCGTCATTATCATTACTATCATCATTATCATCGTCATTATCATTACTATCATCATTATCATCGTCATTATCATTACTATCATCATTATCATCGTCATTATCATTACTATCATCATTATCATCGTCATTATCATTACTATCATCATTATCATCGTCATTATCATTACTATCATCATTATCATCGTCATTATCATTACTATCATCATTATCATCGTCATTATCATTACTATCATCATTATCATCGTCATTATCATTACTATCATCATTATCATCGTCATTATCATTACTATCATCATTATCATCGTCATTATCATTACTATCATCATTATCATCGTCATTATCATTACTATCATCATTATCATCGTCATTATCATTACTATCATCATTATCATCGTCATTATCATTACTATCATCATTATCATCGTCATTATCATTACTATCATCATTATCATCGTCATTATCATTACTATCATCATTATCATCGTCATTATCATTACTATCATCATTATCATCGTCATTATCATTACTATCATCATTATCATCGTCATTATCATTACTATCATCATTATCATCGTCATTATCATTACTATCATCATTATCATCGTCATTATCATTACTATCATCATTATCATCGTCATTATCATTACTATCATCATTATCATCGTCATTATCATTACTATCATCATTATCATCGTCATTATCATTACTATCATCATTATCATCGTCATTATCATTACTATCATCATTATCATCGTCATTATCATTACTATCATCATTATCATCGTCATTATCATTACTATCATCATTATCATCGTCATTATCATTACTATCATCATTATCATCGTCATTATCATTACTATCATCATTATCATCGTCATTATCATTACTATCATCATTATCATCGTCATTATCATTACTATCATCATTATCATCGTCATTATCATTACTATCATCATTATCATCGTCATTATCATTACTATCATCATTATCATCGTCATTATCATTACTATCATCATTATCATCGTCATTATCATTACTATCATCATTATCATCGTCATTATCATTACTATCATCATTATCATCGTCATTATCATTACTATCATCATTATCATCGTCATTATCATTACTATCATCATTATCATCGTCATTATCATTACTATCATCATTATCATCGTCATTATCATTACTATCATCATTATCATCGTCATTATCATTACTATCATCATTATCATCGTCATTATCATTACTATCATCATTATCATCGTCATTATCATTACTATCATCATTATCATCGTCATTATCATTACTATCATCATTATCATCGTCATTATCATTACTATCATCATTATCATCGTCATTATCATTACTATCATCATTATCATCGTCATTATCATTACTATCATCATTATCATCGTCATTATCATTACTATCATCATTATCATCGTCATTATCATTACTATCATCATTATCATCGTCATTATCATTACTATCATCATTATCATCGTCATTATCATTACTATCATCATTATCATCGTCATTATCATTACTATCATCATTATCATCGTCATTATCATTACTATCATCATTATCATCGTCATTATCATTACTATCATCATTATCATCGTCATTATCATTACTATCATCATTATCATCGTCATTATCATTACTATCATCATTATCATCGTCATTATCATTACTATCATCATTATCATCGTCATTATCATTACTATCATCATTATCATCGTCATTATCATTACTATCATCATTATCATCGTCATTATCATTACTATCATCATTATCATCGTCATTATCATTACTATCATCATTATCATCGTCATTATCATTACTATCATCATTATCATCGTCATTATCATTACTATCATCATTATCATCGTCATTATCATTACTATCATCATTATCATCGTCATTATCATTACTATCATCATTATCATCGTCATTATCATTACTATCATCATAGAAAACGAGAATCAAGTTTCTTAGAATTTCGAGAACAAAATTTAGATACAATTCCGATGACCGATTCTTCTATATCTAATACCCACATGAATGTTTGATACTATGATATACAAATCTGATATTAGCAAAGGGAAGGTACCTGATAGCATTATAAGTAATATTAGCGGTAAAGCTCAATCTTGCAATTTATCTGACCCTATGGTTTTATAAGTATATTCGCTGAAATCAGAATTCTGATGATAACACCAATTTTGTTCTGACAGTCACTTGTAATGAGGTAAAAGGGACAGAAAATAATACAATATATTTTTTTATCTTTTATTTTTTAACATTTGCTTTCTTTTTTTTTCTTTGCAATCGGCATAATCAAAGTGATATCGAATCCCCTCCCACCCTCTTCCGTCACGTGACAGGAACAGAAGGTATATAAGCCCTTCTGCACCGGCTATCGTTTCGTGTCGAGCGAGTCATCACAGAGGTAAGTCGTGCCGTGGGACCTGTTGCGGAATGGCGCTGCTCCTTGGAACATTTATCTGATCTGTCTCAAGCATCTTTCCTTTTATAGAAGCGTTGGAATAGATTTTCGTTTTTCTTTCGTTTAGCTGGGGAAAGATTTTTTTGTAGTGAAAAGAAAGGATTTTTGTAAGTGTGGGGTGAGGTGGATTAAGAATCAAGGTCATTAAAGAAAAAGTCCTTGAATATTGAAGGAGACAGATGACGGAAAAAAATATATGAATATTTAAAGAAATCAGCAAAGATACTTGCCATATCCACTCTGTGCTACCCCGATTTGCCTTCTCTTTCTCTATTTTTTATAAACTGACGCTTAATATTTATGTTAACGTGTGACTAAAGTTATATACACTATTTTTATTACTTTTTATTACTCTTCATTATTTTTTTCTAGGATGAATTGCCTTTCTTTCCTAAGGTTGAACAGAGTAAAGTCACTTTCTTTGCGATATTTTTGTGCCCTTGGGATCAGGTTTCCTAATTTGTACACTGTGTCTTTGATTTTCGTTTCTCTTTTGTTTTTCCGTTTTCATTTTAAATTTTGAATTAAATTTTACTTTGTGCAGTGTTGCTTCTTTAAAGAATACCGAATTTGACAAAGAAAAGACATTTTCGAATCAAAGTACTTGAATCTGAAACCGGTGATTCAACTAACGCTGCGTATTGACAAGTTGGTGAAACGGTTGTGAGTTCCAATCTAAGATTGTCAGTTTTTACAACGAAGTGAATCGTATTACCTCAGTAATGATAAGATTTTATCTTTTCGTTCTTCCATCTTTGGATTGAAAAATCTCAATGCTAAAAGGAGAGAAAGAGAAAAAAAACTTTAATCATCCTCTGCAGAGAATTTAGTGCCGCTGTTCAGGTATCTCTCAGCTCGGTTCCCTTTCCTTAGGCCACCGCGATGAAGGCCTCGGCTCTGGTGTTCGCTGCTGCCTGTGCGGTTTTCAGTGTGGGCGTCGCTGCTGCTGCTGCTGCCACTGCCGCCGGTGTGAGCAAGCCTCTGCCGGCCGCAGGGGCTGCCAAGCCTCCGCCTCCTGCTGGGGCTAAGCCTGCCCCAGGGGCCTCCATGGGTAGGTCGACGAAGCTCTACGTACAAATGCTTATGCAAACACATACATACATATACATATATATGTATATACATATACATATGTACATAAATTATATCTATATTATATATATACACACATACATATACATATACATAAATATACGTATATATATATACATACATATACATATACATGCATGCACACACACACATATATATGTATATATATATATATATATATATATATATATATATATATATATATATATATATATATGTATATACATATATACATGTATATATATATATATATATATATATATATATATATATATATATATATATATATATATGCATATATACATATATATCATTAAATAAAAACTTTGGGCGAAGCAGAGGCTGAGTGTTCGACCTTGACCCTCACTTTGCCGCTCACATCCAGCTGACGCCGTTTGATCTCTCCGTCAGGAATGGGGGCTTTCGCGTCCTTCATGCCGTCGGCAGCCATGATCAAATCCTTCATCCCGACGCCCGAGGAGATCCAGGAGCTCCAGGCCCTCCACACCACGCCCGCCCCTCCCCCTCCTCCCCCTACCCTCCCTCCGACCGCTTCCCCCGCCGACATGTTTGCCCCCGCCCCTCTCCCGCCCCCTGGCGTCTACCCTCCGCCCGGAGTTATCCCTCCCCTCGGGTCCTTCTCTTCGTTGTCTGCTTCTTCTCCTCCTTCGTCGGGTCTTTTGCCTTACGGGGCCTTGGCGCCATCTGGAGTCCTCCCGCCGTCGGGGGCTTTCCCTCCTTCAGGTGCCATGCCTCCCTCAGGGGTCTACCCTCCACCCGGTGCCTTGCCTCCCCCAGGGGCCTACCCTCCCCCCGGTGTCCTGCCTCCCCCTGGGGCCTACCCTCCCCCCGGTGCCTTGCCTCCTCCTGGGTCATATCCTCCTCCCGGGGCCTTGCCTCCCGCGGGCGCCTACCCTCCCCCCGGCGCCATGCCTCCCCCAGGGGCTTTTCCCGGTGGCCTAACTTCTGGAACTTTCTCGTCCGCAGGTCCCGCCGGCTCTGCGAAGGCTTCTGGTTCCAAGTCCTCCTCGGCCTCTGGTGGCGGCATGGGCCCGAGTAGCTTTATGCCCGGGGGTGGCATGGGCAGCTTTATGCCCAGTGGCATGGGCTCTGGTGGTATGGGGAGCTTTATGCCAAGTGGCATGGGCTCTGGAGGCATGGGCAGCTTTATGCCCAGTGGTATGGGCTCTGGAAGTATGGGCAGTTTTATGCCTAGTGGCATGGGTTCTGGGAGCATGGGTAGTTTTATGCCAAGCGGCATGGGCTCTGGCGGTATGGGCAGCTTTATGCCCAGTGGAATGGGCTCTGGAGGCAGCTTTATGCCCAGTGGAATGGGCGCAGGCGGTGCGAGTAGCTTCATGCCCGGCGGCGCTGCCTCTGGTGGCATGGGCAGCAGTGGATCTATGGGCGAACCAAGTAAGTGCATACGTATAAAAACGTTATTCTAAATATCATCATCTTGTGTGTACCAATATACAAATATACTTTTTACCAATATACTTTTATATACTAAATGTTAATACCTGAAGTAGCAGATATATTGTGATAGATCTTTTCTAGGATGAGATAGATAAATAGATGGATATATATATGGACAGACAGGCAGATTGATAGATAGGTAAATAAATGGATAGGCAGATAGGTAGGTAGATAGATAAATAAATAGATAGATAGATTGATAGACTGAGAGATAGATTGATAAATAGATAGATTGATGGATAGATAAATAGAGAGGTGCCATACCAATAACCTGAAAACTTTCCTTCTCGCCCCAGCCATGTCTCCAGCTGTGGCCAAATTGGTAGCCAAATATGAATCTGCTGCGACTAACTTCATGGGAATGGGAGCCGCTTAAAGGCACTTGTTCTCGACCTGGACTGATGGAATCTCTGTGGTTACCTTCCCTTCTACACCGCCGTCTTCAGTAATTTACCACACACTATTCTCCCATAACCTGAAGGAACTGTTTAAAATGAATCTATGAAGTCTATCTTACGAGGCAGCAAACAGAATGAGCTCTCAACAACTCTCAGGAGGTCGGATGTTGTCTAAGAAGTCAATGGAAGAAGGAAAATGGTTATTTCATGCTGACGCCGTTTTCCTCCTTCAGCTGTGAAATGCAAATAAAAATACGACTTTTGAGGAAAGTGTCTATCCTTCAAGAATTCCTTAAATGGACCATTTAATATTACATGTAAGTGTGTATGTGTACGCATATATAACTTACCTATGAAGATTACTTTGATATGATGTGTATGCTTGCATGTTTCTGCGGTTCGTAGTTTATTAGTAGTTTCCTAACCGAATTACTCCCCCACCAAGCCTCAGACCAGTAGGCTGGCGGTACTCGACTCGACTCCTAGATTGCTAGGGAGCAGATGGTGCTAAAATAACACAGACTCTAATTGGTAATACTGCTTTGTAAGGACACCAAGAACACAATCTCATCTATCAACACACGCTCAGTTCTCAGCGGCAAAAGGAAATCTTGACACTGGCTGAATCAACAATCATATGCACAAAGCTAAAAGG